GATTACAGTTTGACCCTGCAGCCTTGTCTCGCAGTCTGACAGCTAAGATTAGAACAACCTTGTTAGAGACAGAGGTGTCACCAAACCCTGCAGAGAGAGACCCAGGGGGAGGGCTAACATGGAGGAGAAACAGCCCAGGATCAGGCCTCATCTCTGGGTAAGCGAGAGCCAGTGAATTATTATCTGTGTTCTCGCTCCTTCTGTGGTCAACTGAAAACTTGTGTGTGTGTGTCTCTCTTTTTTGTGTGTGTAAATTTGCCCGAGAAATGGATCTAAAGCCTCAGTCCTGGATCTACAGCCTCGGTCTTTATGTCTCAGTCTCTGTGTGAAAGCATATTGAAAAAGCGTACATTTCCTGAGAGCACGTTTTGTGTTTCGACTACAGACGATTGATTGCATCTCAGCTCTGGCCTCTGACTTCTCTGACTCCATATCTGTAAGAGCTCATTCTCTCGAGTCAGAGACGGACGCCAGGTATCTGAGGTTTATGGACCCCATTTTGGATCAACTGGGGACAAGTGGAGCTGAGGTCGATAAATAACATTTTAGTTGTTCAGTTATTGTTGTGGGAGGGAGCTATAGACTGTAAATATTAACAGACGTAGTTACGCCTACCTGCGCTGTTCAAACTAATGTTTCATCGCGTCTATGGGTTGTTTCAAAATGGCCGCAGCAGATGGAAAATGTGAAAAAATGCATATGAGGATGTGTCAGTGCCTTCAAAATCTCACAGCGGCTAAACTAGACTGGTCCAAAAAAAAATAACTCCCCTCAGCATTTACAGCATCTGGAACGGAGCTTTGAGCCAAGGGGCGACTTTTGGACCATCCTGTAAAACCATTTTTGAGAGGTCAGAAGATATGTACACTTGCATTGAATTATTCTTATTCTGGGTCCACCCCCGCTGGCCCGGGGTGGTATTGCAAGGTTTTTGTTAGTGCACGTCATTTTGGACATTTTTGAGCCGGGACCCGCCCCCACTGGAGGGAACACGGAGCTTCTACTGTTCTGTTCTGTGGTCTTTAATTTAGAGACCAGAGAGAGACTACAGAGAGAGACCACAGAGAGAGACCACAGAGAGAGACCACTGAGAAACCAGAGAGAGACCAGGGAGAGACCAGACAAAGACCAGAGAGAGATCACAGGAGACAGAAGTGTGCAAATATGTTAAAGGTTAAAAATATAGTTTGTGCAGGATATAATTATGTAGAATAAAAAACAAGTTTATGAAATGGTCTGATAAGTGATAGTTGTTCCACCACTTCAGACTCCAACAGAGAAGTACTTGAGTTCCAGCTCCTTCCTTCAGCAGACACTTTCAGATTCAGATTATTCACCATTTACTGTAAAACCACATGGGAATAACACTTTCATAAATGGAGGAGTGAAAATTAGGAATCCCACTTTAATCTAGTCAACTATGCCATCTATAAACATGAACACATAGAAGCAGAAGAAGTCCTCTCTCTCTCAGAAATATTCAATTCAATGTATTCCTATATGGCCCTAAACCACAATAGTTTTTTCCCCTGAGGACTTTACATAGCTGTCGATTCACCAACAACAGATCAGAAATTCAAAAGAAAATGCAATGACAAAAACACATAGAACTATTGGTCCAAAAGGGCAGATGACCACTGACCAAACATGACCAAACCCTAAATGTCCTTAAACGTCCCGGATCAGCGCTGTCCTCAGAGCCTCCTGCATCAGAGAGGAACAGAAATGTTTTCTTAAGTTGGGAAAGCGACAGACGAGCATCTGTGGCGTTTGTTGTTTTTGGACAGACGCCGGTGAAGACGCAGCTAACGAGATTTCACTTCGTTGTGGATAAATGAGGTCCACAGAGAGAAAAGACACGGATCTGCACCTGCTTTAGTCTGAGTCCAGCACAAACTTTAGTGTGTGTGTGTGTGTGTACATGTGTGTCTATCTCTGTGTGTGTCTGTGTGCATGTATCTGTCTATCTGTGTGTGTGTCTGTCTATCTCTGTGTGTGTCTGTATGCTTGTGTGCGTTTTGAGTATTTTTTTCTAAAAATTGGCTTTTTTTTGTCCAGTCACAACAGCAGACGATTGGTTGTAGACTTGCTGATTAAAAAGACCAAATTAGAAATGCCTGATGGGCCTAGATTTAAAAATGTAAATGCACAACTCTTATTGATATTTGCACTACCACAGAGCGACACAGACACACACAAACACACTTCCCTTTAAAGAGCATCCACACAGAGCTAAATGTGAAACCTCAGGGTGTGTTCTGCTCAGAGATAATTGTCTGTTTTATGTTGGACTCCTGTAAAGTCTCAGAATCTCTCACTGAGAAAAGACACGGAACAAACCTGATTCTAACACTGACAACGCACTGACAACAGGGTCAATACGAGGCGAGAGAGCCAGGAACCAACAGCAGGAGGAGAGAGAGGAGGAGAGGGAGAGCGAGAGAGAAAGAGGAGTGAGAGATGGAGAAGGAGGGAGGTGAGAGAGAGAGAGAGAGAGAGAGAGAGGGAGAGAGAGAGGGAGGAGTGAGAGATGGAGAGGGAGGGAGGTGTGTGCGAGAGAGAGCGAGAGAGAGAGATGGAGAGGGAGGGAGGTGAGAGAGAGAGAGAGAGAGAGCGGGAGGAGTGAGAGATGGAGAGGGGGGAGGTGAGAAAGAGGTGGAGGAGGTGAGAGAGAGAGAGGAGTGAGAGATGGAGAAGGAGGGAGGTGAGAGAGAGAGGGAGAGAGAGAGGGAGGAGTGAGAGATGGAGAGGGAGAGAGGTGAGAGAGAGAGCAAGAGAGGGAGGAGTGAGAGAGAGGGAGGAGTGAGAGAGAGGGAGGAGTGAGAGAGAGGGAGGAGGGAGAGAGGTGAAAGAGAGAGAGATATAGAGCGGGAGGAGTGAGAGATGGAGAGGGGGGAGGTGAGAGAGAGAGGAGTGAGCGAGAGAGAGGAGTGAGAGAGAGGGAGGAGTGAGCGAGAGAGAGAGAGGAAGGTGAAAGAGAGAGAGAGAGAGAGGAGTGAGAGAGAGGGATGAGTGAGAGATGGAGAGGGAGAGAGGTGAAAGAGAGAGAGCGGGAGGAGTGAGAGATGGAGGGGGGAGGTGAGAAAGAGAGAGAGAGCGGGAGGGGTGAGAGATGGAGAGGGGGGAGGTGAGAAAGAGGGGGAGGAGGTGAGAGAGAGAGAGGAGTGAGCGAGAGAGAGGAGTGAGGGAGAGAGGGAGAAGTGAGCGAGAGAGAGGGAGGGAGGTGGGAGCGAGAGAGAGCGGGAGGAATGAGAGATGGAGAGGAGGGAGGTGAGAAAGAGGACAGACAGAGAGAGAGAAAGGAGGGGAAAGAGAGAGAGGAGGTGAGACAGAAAATGAGGACAGAGAGAGAGGAGGTGAGAGAGAAGGAGGACAGAGAGAAGATGTGTGAGAGAGAAGGAGGACGTGAGAGAGAGAGAGAGGGAGGGAGGAGGTGAAGGAGAACGAGACGAGGCAGAAGAGTGAGAGAAGAGGGAGAAAACAGCAGAAAAAGAGCTCGGTCAGACAGGTCCTAATTAGAGTAGAGCCCATTGAATAACTCCTGCAGGTTCAAGAACTCCAGACTTTAAGAGTGATCCAGCATCTCAGAAAAACCGTGTGTGTGTGTGTGTGTGTGTGTGTGTGTGTGAGTGTAGTAATGTTGAAACTTTTGTGAATGAAATCTGAAACTCACACGACGGAAACGACGTCGCCGCGTTGAACCTGGAAGTTCCTGACGCTCCATCGATTCAGGAGGACGACATCACAGTCTGAACTGGAGCTGTCTGGGTTCAGGGACGGCTGCAGAGACAGAGACAGAGGACACTCAGGGACAGAGACGGTCTCTCTGGTGTGACTCTCTGGTGTGACTCTCTGGTGTGACTCTCTGGTGTGACTCTCTGGTGTGACTCTCTGGTGTGACTCTCTGGTCCCTCCCTTTCTGGTCCCTCTCTCTGGTCCCTCTCTCTGGTCCCTCTCTCTGGTCCCTCTCTCTCTGGTCCCTCTCTCTGGTCCCTCTCTCTCTGGTCCCTCTCTCTCTGGTTCCTCTCTCTCTGGTTCCTCTCTCTCTGGTTCCTCTCTCTGGTTCCTCTCTCTGGTCCCTCTCTCTGGTCCCTCTCTCTGGTCCCTCTCTCTGGTCCCTCTCACTGATCCCTCTCACTGGTCGCTCTCTCTGGTCGCTCTTTCTCTGGTCGCTCTTTCTCTGGTCGCTCTTTCTCTGGTCTCACTCTCTCTGGTCTCTCTCTCTCTGGTCCCTCTCTCTCTGGTCCCTCTCTCTGGTCCCTCTCTCTGGTCCCTCTCTCTGGTCCCTCTCTCTGGTCCCTCTCTCTGGTCCCTCTCTCTGGTCGCTCTATCTGGTCCCTCTCTCTGGTCCCTCTCTCTGGTCGCTCTCTCTGGTCGCTCTCTCTGGTCGCTCTTTCTCTGGTCTCTCTCTCTCTCTGGTCCCTCTCTCTGGTCCCTCTCTCTGGTCCCTCTCTCTGGTCCCTCTCACTGGTCCCTCTCACTGGTCCCTCTCTCTGGTCGCTCTCTCTGGTCGCTCTCTCTGGTTGCTCTTTCTCTGGGTCTCACTCTCTCTGGTCCCTCTCTCTCTGGTCCCTCTCTCTCTGGTCCCTCTCTCTGGTCCTGGGTTGGGGGGGGGTATTTTTGGGTTGGGAGTGGGTTTTGGGGGTGTGTTGGGAAGGGGGTGTTGGTTGTGGTGGGAGGGGGGGGTTGTTGTGTTGGGGTGAGGGTTTTTGGGTGTTTGGTGTGATGGTTGTTGGGTGGGGTTGAGGAATGTGTGTTTATTGTGTGTGGGTGGAGGTTTTGTGTTGTGGGTGGGTTAGGGGGGTTTGGTGTGTTTATGAGTGGGTGGGGATTGGTTGTTGGTGTTAGGGGAAAGATTTGTTATTTTTTTTTGGATGTGTGGTGTTTTGGTGTTTTATTTTTGTTTATGTTTTAAATTTTTATGTTGGGGGATTGGGGTGGTTAGGGGTGTTTTGTGTGTTTGTGGTTGTTGTGTTTTTTGGTATGTTGTGTTTGTATGTATGGTTTTTATTTTGGGTGTTGGTTGTTGGGGTGTTTTTTTTTGGGATTGGTTGTTAGGGGTGTGGGTGTGGTGGTTGGTTGTGTTTGGTGTGGTTAGGGTGGGTTTGTGGTGTTGTGGTGGGGGGTGGTGTGGGGTTGGGGGGGGGTGGGTGTGGAGAGGGGTTTGTAGGGGGGGTGGTTTTGATGGTGGGTTTGGTTTTATAGGTTGGGTTGGGGGGGGTGTTGTGGATGGAGTTTGTGTGTTGGTGTTGGGGGAAAGATATATGTTGATAGAGAGTGTGGTTTGTATTGGATTGGTAGGGTGGGGGGGAGAGTGATAGTAAGGTTTGTGTTGTTTGTGTAGGTGTTGTGTGGTTTGGTTTGTTGGGGTTGTGGTGTGGGTGTGTGGGTGGTGGGTTGTGGGTTGTGGGGTTGGGTGGTTTGTGGGATTTTATTGGTGGGTTTTTTATAGGGTTTGTGGGGATGGGGGGATTATTAATTTGTGAGAGTGTATTATTTTAGAGTTGGATTTTGAGGTTTATTTGTTGATTTTTGGGATGAGTATGTTGGGTTTTTTATGATTTGGGTGTTATTGTTTTTTTTGGGTTGGAATTTTTGATGTTGGGTAGATTATTTTGGTTTATTGTGGTGGGGGTGGGGTTTGGTTTGTTGGGTGGATGTTGAGGTGAGGTTAGATGATTGATTGTAATATAGTTGGGTGTGATGTTATTTGTGTTATGGTGGAGTGAGTGTTTTTGGTGTGGAGTTATATGTTATATTTTTGTAGGGTTGGATTTGGTGGTGGGTGTGTTTGTGGGGGTTTTTTATTTGAGGTTTTTTGGGTGTTTGTTGTTATTTTGTTGTGTGTTGTGTGTGGTATGGGGGGGGTGTGAATGGGTTGGGGATGGTTGGTTGTAAGATTGGGTTTGAGGAATGTGATGGGAAGTAGGTTAAGGTAGGTATATGGGATAGAGGGAAGTGTTGGGAAGTAGGGTAAGGTGGTAATGGGTTAAGGATTGGTGGGGTAGTAGGTAGATGAGGTAATGGTTTATTTTGAGAAGGTATGGTTTTGGATGTATGTTGAGTTGTTGGGTTTTGAGGATTGTGTTGGTGTTTGTTAGAGGTGTTAATGTTTAGTGTTTGGATGGTAGTATGGTAGAGGTGGAATGGGGTTTGTGGTATGGTTGGGTTGGTGGGTTTGTGGGGGTAGTGTTATGTGGGAAGTTTTTGATGGTGTATTGGTTTAATGGGGAATGTTGTTGGGGTAGTTGTATGAGGTATGGGTTTAGAGGAATGGATGACGAGGTGTGTGGTGTTTGTGGTGTTTGTGTTGGTGGGTTGGTGGGTTGTGGAGGGTATGGTGTGTTTGGGGTATGTGGTTGAGGTGGTTAATGGGTTTTTTATTATGGGATTTTGTGTGATGTTTGTAGATGGTGTAGAGTGTTATGTGGATTTGTTGTTTGGTTGTTTGGGTAGGGTGGTAATGGGTGTTAGAGAATGTGAGGGGGAAAGATGGTAAGGTGTTTGGGTTTAGTGGATTTGGTAGGAAGTTGGTTGTTGGATGGGTTAGATGGGTTTTGGGTGGGGGTTGGAAGTTGGGTAAGGAGGTAATGGTTTAGTAGGGTTGGGTTGGGTAGTAGTAGTGGTGGTTTTGGGTTAGTGTATGTGTTGGGATGTATGGAGGAGGTGTGAAGGGTGATGGAAGAGGTTGATAAGATATTTTGATTTGATGTGGGTGGAGGGGGAGTTGAGGGTTGGGTGGGGTGGTTGTGGTTGTGTTTTGTTGGGTGGGTTGTGTTGGTTGGTGTTTTTTATTTTTGGGGGTGTTAGGTTATTTAGTTTTTGGGGAAGTTATTTATTTATTTTTTGGTGAGTTGTTTGTGTGTGGGTGTGGGGTGGTTGGTTGTTTTGGGGTGTTTGTTGGGGTTTTGTTGGTGGTTGGAGTTTTTGGGTTTTTGTTTTTTGGTGTTGGGTGTGTGTTTTATAGTTAGTTGTTTGTGGGGGTTTGGGGTGTTTGTAGGTTATGTATGGTTGTTTTTTAGTAAGATGTGGGGTGGTATGGGAAAGGATTTTTGGGTATTTTATTTTGTGGTGGTTTATTTTTATTAAGTATTTTTGTATTGTTATTTGTTGGTTGTTATGTGAGTTTAATTTGTTTTTATGTTTTGGTTGTTTGATTTAGGGTAGTGTATTTATGGGGAGTGGGTATATGGGTTAATTATTTTGGGGTGGGTGGTGTTGGTTTGTGTGGTGAGGGTGAGGTGGTTATGGGTTGTGTTTTTGAGGGTTGGGTTTATGGGATTTTTTTATTTATGGTGAGTGTTGTATAAGGGATATATTATATATGGTATGTTTTAAGGATTATTTGGGGTTTAGTGTGGTGTTTGAAGGGATAGATGAATTATATGGGGTGAGTGTGTAAAGGGAGATTTTATATTATATGTGAGTGGTGTTATATATGGATATATATTTATTATGGGTTGTGTTATTAGGGATTTATAATATATGGGTAGTTTTATATTGTAGAGTGTTGTGTTTGTGTGGGGTTGTAGAGATTTATTTTGTTGGGGGATAAGGGATTATGAATTATATGGGTGTGGGGTTAAGGATAGATTTTTATATGTGAGTGTGTATAAGGGATAATATAATTATAGGGGTATGTGTTATAATGGATATATATTATATGGTGATTGTTTATAAGGATATATGAATTGAGATGTGAGTGTGTATAAGGATATATGAATTATAATGGTGAGTTATAAGGGATTTTTTAGTATTGGGTGAGTGTGTATAAGGATAATATGATGTTAATGGGTGAGTGTATATGGGATATTGAATTTTAGGGGTGAGTGTTATAATGGAGGGTTTGATTTGTTTTTTTATTGGTTTTGTGTTTTGGGATGAATGATGAGAGAGAGAGTTAGAGAGGAGATAATGAATGGTGATGAGGGAAAGAGAAGGGTATGTTAGTTGAGTGGTGTGTGTGTTTTTAATGAGTGTGAGAGGAAAGAGAGAGAGAGGTTGTAGATGTGTTGTGAGATGGGTTGTGTGTGTAGTGTGTGAAGTGTGGTGTGATTGGTGTGAGAGATTGTTTGTTTAGGTGAGGTGTTTTGTGTGTGTCGTGAGTGGTGTGTATTGATGAGAGTTGTTGTTGGGTAGTTGGTGTGTGGTTATGTTTTGTGTGTGGTGTGTGGGTGTTTTGGTTGTATGGGAGATGTGAGGTGATATAGAGTTAGAGTTTAAATGAGGATGTGTGTGTTAGTGGTATAGTGAAAAGGTAAGGGAATAAGATGGAAAATGTTGAAGTGTGTGAAAGGTGAGATTGAGAGTAAAGGTGTGAAATGGAAGAATGGTTGAGAGTGGTGAGATGGTTGTGTGTGTTGGGATGGTTTGTGGGTATTATGTTTTTGGAAGAATGGGGGTAGAGGGGGGGGTGGGGGGTGTTTTGTTTTTGGTTGGGGGATGGGATAGGTTTATGGGGTGGTTTTGAGGTTTTTTGTGGTGGTTTTTAGGGGTTTGTTATGTGTATGATTAGATGGGTAGGATAATTGGAGTATGAATAATGAAAGGTTGATTATGGGTTTGTTTTTTTGGGTATGTAATAGGGGGTTATGATTAATTGGTATGATAATAGGGGGGTTTATAAAATGGGTTGATAATTGTGGGGATATGATAATAAGGGTATGATAATATGTATGATTTAGGTAGATAATAGGTATGATTATAGGGGTATGATAATAGGGGATATAGAGGGTTAAATGATAATAGGAGATATAAGGGTGATATAGATATGATATTTGGATATTTTATAGTTTTGATTATTGTGGGTTGGTTTTTGGGGGAGGATTTGTTGAATGTGGTAATGTGATATTTATTTTTAGGAAGTTTAGTGTGGATATTGTGGGGTGATATGTATAATGTTGTATGAGGGAAAAGAAAGAATTAAGGGATGTGTTATGTTGGGATTATATTGATTAAATGAGTGGTATGTGAAGGGTATTTTTTTGGGTTTTTAGGGGGTTGTTTTTTTATTTATGGGATAATGTTTTAAAGGTGAGTGATTGTGGGGGTTGGGTGTTTGGGGTGGGGGGGGGGTTTTTATGGGGATGGATTAGTGTGGGTAGGGGGGTTGGATGGTTTTTATTGTTTTGAATTGTGATATGGTGTTAGGTGTTTTAGGATATTTTTTTTGGTGTAGATTTGAAATTGGGGTGGGTTTTTTTGGTGTGGTGTATATTGAATGGAAGTGGAATGGGTTTTTTATTATGATGTATGGTAGGATTTATGTATTATAAGGGTGGTAGTTGGTTATTTAGGTAGGTAGGGTTTATAATTGGGTTTTTGTTGTATGTGGGAGAATTGGGGTGTGGATGGGGATTGTATTTATGAGTTGTTATATATATATTTGTGTGTTGTGTATGTGTTATTGGTGTTGATATTTTGGGTGTTTTTAGATTAGAGTATGTTTTTGGTAATGAGGTTTGGTTAGTGTATTATTTATGATGTTATTTTAGAGTAGAGTAGTTTGTTGTTGTTTTGTGTGAGGGATTGGTTGTATGGGTGTGGTGTTGTTGTTTGTTGTTGTTTAGGTTTTTGAAAGTTTAGAGTATGGAGAGGAGGTTTTGAGTTAGAAAGGGAAGGTTAAGTTAGAGGTAGGTTTAGATTATAAGAGGGAGGTAGGGTTAAGAGGAGGTTTAGGTTAAGAGGATTTAGATTTTAAGAGGAGTTTAGATTGAAGAGGAGGTTTAAGTTATGAAGGAGGTTTAGGTTAAGAGGGAGGTTTTAGAGTTAAGAGGGAGTTTTAAGTGGTAAGAGGAGGTTTAAGTTAAGGAAGGGTTAGAGTTGTGAGGAAGGTTGTAGAGTTAAGAGGAGGTTAGATTTAAGGAGGTTAGAGTTAAGGGAGTTTAGAGTTGAGAGGTGTTTAGAGTTAAGAGGAGGTTTAATTAAGGAGTTAGAGTTAAGGGGGGGGGTTTAGAGTTGAATGGAAGGTTTAGAGTGGAGAGGAGGTTAGAGTTTAAGAGGAGGGTTTAAGTGGAGAGAGGTTTAGTGATTAGTGTGGGAAGTTAGAGGAGTGTTTAGAGTTAAGAGAGGTTTAGAGTTAGGGAGTTTAGAGGTGAGAGAGGTTGAGAGTTTAGAGGAGGGTTTAGAGGTTAAGGGGAGGGTTAGAGTTAAAGGGAGGGTGTTTGGTGTAAGAGGAGGTGTAAGTTAAAGGAAGGTTTAGATGTGAAGGAGGTTTTAGTGTGAGAGGTGTTTGAAGTTAAGGGTGTTAGAGTTGAAGGGAGGTTTTGAGTTGATGTTGTAGAGTGGAAGGAGTGTTATTGTAGGAGGGTTAATTAAGAGAGTTTAGATTATAAGAGGAGGTTGTGTTTAAAGGGGATGTGTATGAGTTGAGAGGAGGTTTAAGTTAAGAAATTTAAGTTAAGAGAGGTTTAGAGTTGAAAGGATGTAAGTTTATATGAGGAGTTTAGAGTGAAGAGGAGGGTTAGAGTTAAAGGGGAGGGTTAAATTTATGGAGGGGGTAGTAGTTTAGGTGGTTGAGAGTTGAGTGAGGGGTTTAGTGTTGTTAGAGTTTAGAGTTATGGAGGTTTAGTGTTAAGGAGGGTTTAGAGGGTGAGTGGTTTAAGTTAAGGAGGTTTGAGTTGAGAGGGAGGTTAGAGTGAAAGAAAGGTTTTGAGTTGAGTGGTGTTTTATTGTGAAGAGAGGTTTAGAGTTGGAAGGGAGGGTTTTGAGTTTATGGTGTGTTGTGAGGTGGGTTAGTAGTGAAGTGTTTTGTTGAGGTGTGGTGAGATGGTGTGTGGTGGTTTAGATTAAGTGGAGTTTTGAGTTAAGGAGGTTTAAGTTAAGAGTGGTTTAGGGTGTAAGGAGGTTTAGAGTAAGGGAGTTTAAGTTGGAAGGTGGTGTAGTAGTGAAGAAGGTTTTGAGTTTGTATGAGGAGGTTAGAGTTAAGAGGAGGGTTTAAGTTAGGGAGGTTTATGTTTATGTTGTATGGTAGTGTGAGTGATAGGGTTTTGTGTTGAGTGTGGTTTAGTGTTGAGTAGTGTTTAGAGTGTTTGGTGGTGGTGATGGGTGTGAGGGTTTGTTTTAATGAGTTTAGATTTATATGAGGTTGGTGAGTTTGAAGTTGGGTTTTTTTGAGGGATGGTTTATGTGATGTATAGGTTTTTTATTGGTGGGTGTGTGGTTGTGAAGTGTTGATGTTGTAGTGTGGTTGTAGTTATGAGTTTAGAGTAATAGTTTAATTGGTGAGGATGTTTGAGTTTAGGAGGGTTTTGTGTTGTATAGGTGGTTAGAGTTGGAGAGGGGTGGTTTAGAGTTTTGGGTGTGAAAGTTGTTGTGTGTGTGTGGTGTGTATGGTTTATCGTGGTTGGGATGTTTATGGGGGT